AAAGCAAAGTGCAGTGTAATTATATGTGATTTAATCTTAACATATGTTCATCTCTGAAAGTGTTTTCAGGTTTCAGTTTCTGATTAACAGGAAAGGAATACACAAATCTCTTTTACTTAATTTATGAACAAAGTCAGAACTGTTAAAGTTGAAGTTTCCTTTCACCACTTTTTCATTGAAATTAAAATGATTTTCTAACATATAGAAGGTGCAAGTTTGGGAATAAAGAGCTGGCAGATGGATTGTCCCAATTTCAACTGAGAGCAGTTGTGCTGCCTCTCAGAAATTTCTGATTCTTCCTCCTTTTGGAAATATGTCAAGATTGTACTTTTCATGCTTGGAGGAAATTACTTTCTTCCCCTAATAAAATGCAGGCTCAGCCACCAAAGTGCAACTCATTGTATCTCCGTCTTCTTCTGTGTGAATTCGAGAAAGCATATTTGGGTGAAACATCCTTTCGCCTTAATGCCTGAGTGGCCAGGAGTTCACTTGCTCTTCTGCTACCTGTGCGGAGCTGCAGACATGAAGGAAGTGAGCTGCACAGCTTCGGTCACACAGCACAGCCCAGCGTTCCTCAGCTGAAAGTTCTTTTTATTGGTTGAGTGAAGAAAAGGCATTCTCCTCCTAGGTGAACTTTGTTCTTTCAGCTCTTGTTCACTAAGGGATAGTTGAATGAGCTGCTAGAAATAGCAATAGGATCATCTGTTCTCTGCGGTGTGGACCACCACAACTGTAATGAGGAGAGGTCAGTGTCTGTGGAAAGAGTTCTGTGCTCGGATCAGTTATTATAAAGACGTATTCTTTTATGCCTTTACGGTGATAGCACTGGACAGGGGCCAAGAAAGTACCTGAAGCAGACAAGGAGAACCTTGATTCACCACCCTGGGACAGGACGCAAGTTTGCCAACTTCCATCACAAGAAAGCAGCTTTAGGATACAGCTGGAAGAGCCATAAAAAGATTTATTTCAGAAATAAATGGTTGTTTCCTCCTAGACCTATCATGCCCCAAATACCATAAGGATAGTATAAGTCCATAAATTAGTTCATCTGATAAAGTAAAAGGCAGAAATTTGATCTTAAAGGAACTGAGAAATTTCAAAGTATATTCAGAAAATCCATTAAAAAGAAAAACCAGGCTTATACATTTCAGTTGTCGAATGTTGACCATCTTTCTGGAGGTGGGCCATGCAATTTTTTTTTCCTCTAAGGAAAGAAAAATCTGAACTTTCTATAGGCTCACAGGTTACTTTGGTTTCCATCCCATTAAGAGAGGGAAAAAAAACCAAAAACCCATAATGGGAATGGGGAGATAGCTCAGTAGAATAAGTGCTTGCCTGGGCCTGAGTTCAATCCCCAGTTCTGCAAAAATAAATAAATAAATAAATAAATGAGAGAGAGAGAGAGAGAGAGAGAGAGAGAGAGAGGAGAGAGAGAGAGAGAGAGAGAGAGAGAGAGAGAGAGAGAAACAAGCGTTTCCAGCTCTAAGAAATAAAGGTCTCATTTTCTGAACATCCATGTACTACTCCTGAAGGAAGGAAACATGAACTACCCTAGGGATGCTGATGCGGTTAGACTTGGGTAAGTTTGACAAACTGTGTTTTAGAAATTCCAGTCTTCTTAAAAGTTCAAAATTTTAGGTATCAGACCTGCCAAATAGCTCGGTAGATTAAAGTGCCTGCAAGCACACACAGGGGCCAGGAGTTCGATCCCAGTGCCATACTCCTGGGGCACTATGAGATGGAAATTGAGACTGGGCATTTTGGTGCATGCCTGTAGTTCCAGCTCTTGGGAGGCTGTAAACAGGTGGATCACTTAGAGTTTGATCTAGTAGTGAGACCCTGAACACCCTATAGAACCTTCACTAAAATACAAAAATAAATAAATAAACAAAATTTTAGTTATTATTTTGCATTTCTTTTTTCTTTTTGGGGAACTGGGGATTGAACTCAGGTCCTTACACTTGCCAGGGAAGTGCTTATTCCACTGAGCCATCTCCCCGGCCCCTTATTTTGCATGTTTAATTTCTGTCTTTATTTTTCTATATCATTAGTATAAAGTAAACTATAATATATTGTCTGATTTAATTGTATGGATAAAAGCCAAGTAAACAAAAAATGCGTTAATTGAAATGGGTCAAATTGAGCCAAGGTCTTTCTCATTCTAACTTCATGA